ACCGAGTAGCTTGATAGATGCTTCCGTCCTGACTTTGCTTTGGATGTACGTTGTCGTCAGCCTTTTGTAAAATGATTTTTTGTGGCTGGCATGATGTGGTTTCCATGCGAGAGATTGAATTGTTGACACGCATGTTGGTGAGATGATTAGCGAACAGCAGAGCTGATGGAATGGATAGAGTTTTCTTTCCAGTCGCTGAATTGATTTGTTCGCAGCTCTCATTCGTCCTTGAACAAGTTCTTTTTTCTTTTATGTGAGATCAACACAAAATCTCTCTTTTAGTTTCCACCAGACAAAGATGGATGATTTGTATTTAATCTCATCCCACCCTTTGGAAACTTCGGCTTTCATGGTGGGACAAGGTGTGTAGAAATCTATACGTTATGATCGATTCCAAGAAGATCATCTAAAGTTGACCCTGGAGCGATAGCAAGTGTTGGAAGCCCAGTTCCTTGGAATCACGTTTCGAGCCACGACTGTTTCCGAGGTTGACAGAGTCGTGACTCGAAACGAGAAAGGGCCCCTCAGAGGACCGCCATTGAAACACCATGTTGCGCCCCACACCTGAGTCATTGGCTGCCAAACTCGAGACCCAGCCTGTTGTGTGTGTGTGTGTGTGGCGAGAGAGAGAGAGAGAGAGAGAGAGAGAGAGAGAGAGCACAAACAATTCGTTTCGTCAGTGTAAGCTAAGAGAGAGAGAGAAAGAAAAAGAAGTGAAGAAAGGCATGTTTATCTACCTGCATGAGCTCGACATGACCCAAATCTCCAGGTCCCGCTGCGTAGCGAACGAGAATGGACAACCAAAATGGTGTGGATCCTTCGTTGACTTGGAATTCCATGGGCCTGGAGCCATAGTTACAATCGACCCTGCAAAATTTGTTAAAGGGTCAGGAGAAGTTGGCCATGAACTCTTTTTAACTATTACCTCTTGTAGAGGACTTGCATAACTCCTGATCCCAACAGCTGGTTTGTTCTTCCGGCCATCGCCATTCTTCCAAATGCCGTGCCACTGAGGTCGAAATGCGTCCTCCCAAACGCGCAGTAGCCACCGGGACACTCGTCTGTGATCACCACCGTCACGGCTTTGCCGGAGCAGAGCTGCTGCTGCAAGCACCTCACCTGTGCAATCCAAGCCAAAAACGAAGAACATGAATTCTTTTGGAAGGGGTTGGGAAGGAAATCCAAATCTCTCATACCTTGTAGCATGCACCACAGCCTCTGCCATTCTTGAACAGGACGGGGCTCCCAGCACCAACATCGAGGCCGTAGGGAGTGTTCGGGAGTTCACCATAGCCACAAGCTCCTCCTGGAAATGCAAGAGACAAAGGAAAACGAAGGCATTGATCACTGCAAGAAAGAGAAGAAGAATGATTGGAGAGAGATTTCCTCGCATACCATCAGTTCCAGCACCGCTGGGACTTCCATACCAAGTCGCGGTTGCCAATTGCCAGCCTCGTGCATACGCATGGAATCTGCAACGAGCAACATCCACTGCTGCGAGCAGCAAGACGATGAGCCTCCACAAACTCGCTGAATCCATCGCACAAAAGCACACAAAAACACAAGAGCTTTAGTCGAAGCAGATAATGGGAAGAGATTCGAAAAGAAAAAGAGATCGAATAACAGCCCAGCCAGTCCACTTTTTCTTCCACGCAGAGGATCGTCAGTTTACAATGCTATCTTCTACATGTGCCCTGCGCCTTTGAGTTACCAGAAGAACACCTTTGCATCAATCAATCGTGTAAGCCAAAGCGTCGCTACCCACAAGCGCGTAACGAGAGAAGCGCGATGATGTAAGAGCAGCGATGATTTGCCACTTTACGAGCTCGCCTTTCCGTTGAGCCCAGAGTTAAAAACGCCCAGGTAAAGTTTCGGATCTGGTGAAAAAAGGAGCCGTTGGAGTGTGTGGACGTTGACCATCTCTGGTAACTGCTGGTTTAAATTTTCCAGGTTTTTGCTAACACATCCAAACTTTTATGCGTAAGTTGGCTTGCACGAAGCACGTAATTGAAGCGGAAGGTTGCTTGAAGTTTCACTCTGGATCTCTTCCAGAGTGCTTTACTGCTTTTGGGCAGAGGCCTTGTAGAGTGTTGTCTCGCTAGTGCTGCTTGCTGCCTTGGTCGGGAGCTTTTGCCAGAGAATACGAGCAAGCGTACCTTGAGCATGAGTGAGTGATCATCCTCCTGTTTTACAGAAGAAATCCTTCTGTTGCAACTTTCTTTCGCGGATAAATGGTTTCCCGGTGAATACGTTGAAAACCACAAGACAAAACGCGATTTTACTCTTTGAAACGATCCTAGAAACGACACTTCAGTTTAAAGTCGAGTATATAATTCTCATGCATGCACTACTTCGACCTCGTTGGACGCGAGCAACCTCTTGAAGCCCAGCAGATAATGCGCAATCTTCTCCCTGTAAATCGGGTCCCCCATTGCATCGCGTGGAAATCCAGGATCAAACCTCTCCACCACAGTTTCCACTTCCATCCGCCGCGTAACCTTCTGCATACAAGCAGCCAGCCGCCGGGTGACTGGAATCCTGTAGAAAACCGGGCTCGTGTCCAGCACCAGCAGCCCCAGAAACACTTGCTTCTTGAGTTCCTCGCCCCGCCGCCGCGCTCGTTCCTGGTTCTCTGTAAACGCTTGGATGACCTTCTCCACAAGCCGGGCTTCTGCAAACGCCCTTCTCTCCAGTCGGTCAGGATGAACTATCATCCTGATCTCGGGTATGAGCCCGCGCATGAGGTAGACGTCCCTGTGCTTGGCGATGCTGCCAGCGTCGTCTCCCTGGGGACCAAACTCGTACTCGACTCCCTGCTCGATGAACCAGTCCGGAATGACAGTGTCCTGCGTCACGTATCGGTTGGCGAGGATGTGCATTCCTGGCAGCTCCTCGTAGCCCAGGAGGAGCAGCAGCTCCCTGGCCAGCCTCCACACCGAGAGCTGCGTGGTTCCATTGATGCACTCGGGGATGTAGGCGTTGAGCCAGTGAACGTGGCGAACATCGGCTGTGAGGTCCTTCATTTCGCGCACCATTTGCTCGTACTTGTCTTCTGCTAGAGGGGAGAAAAACTCTACGTCACGGAACCTCACCTGGCACCTCTCTATGCTTGCCATCTCCTTGGTAACCAACCCTAAATTGTTAACATCAGATAAATTTATTCTTTGTTGCGTTTACAAAATGGGAGATTAAAAGATTTTCATGCAAATAAACTATTAGATTAATAAGATCAAGGACGTCGGCTCACTTTAAATTAACGTCTTTGTTCTGGTATCTCACTATCAGGAGCTCCTGCGAGAATCGATCAAAGCACGAGCAACGAAATTTTGTGCTTGTCCTGATTTGAGCTAGAACTTTAGAATAAAAGATTGAAGCTTATCGTTTCTAGTGCCCGTGAACCACCTAAAAGATATCGTATCTCAATAGTCCGAACTCGTGAGATTTGGATTCGATATAACTGATACTGGAAAGGCACAAGCATACACAAAAGAAAAAGGAGGAGGAGGAGAAATAAAAACAATACCTCTCCCTCCTGCGAGAATATCTCTCGACAAAATATCTTCGACTTTGAAGGAAGGTACGATGGAGGGAACGTCCAAGTGTTCGAAGCTAACCATCACTCTTTTCTTTGTTGCTCTCCACGAACCCGTGGACAATGCCGCTGAGAAAATACCAACAACGTTTAGCCGAGAAAAGGGAAAATCTATACCTTTGCGGGATCCCAGACACTATAGCTTGTACCGCCAGGAAAACTGCGTCTTCCCAGTCGCGAAACAGCATTGGCCTGTGATGAGCACCGTCACGGCTTTGAATAGCAACTCGGGGACAATTACCTGGAAGTGAAATCGATTGCTTCATCTCTTTTTCCCTTCTTGGATCCCGAGTGCTTTGGACAGAAGCCTGCTCGCTGCTCTACCAGGCATGTCCGGCCGACGAGCATTCCTTGTTCTGGAACACGTCTCGCCAGTGCTGCCGTCTTGGTCGGGAGGTTTTTCAGGCGAGCGGCTAGTGTGTTGTTCAGGACGCCTTTGAGCGCTGCTCTTACCCAGTGCGTGAGTGATCATTCTGTGCGCTACCGCAGGAACAGTCCTTGGGGATCTTACGTTTGAGTCGCCTGCTTCGTCCGAGGCAACAGTGCTGGTGCTGGTCTCGCAGGACGAGAAGATGCGTTCTCTTGCCGAGAGATATGCCGCCTCTCTCTCCTCCAGAGACGTCACGACCGGATTCTCGTTAGAAGTGAATTGTTTCTCTGAAACATAAAACTTACTCAAAGCCTGATCCAATATCTATCCAAACCATACCAGATGCTTGCATAGCAGAACGTTTAAGTAGTGTTCGAGACGAGCTGCTGGCTATCGAGCATGAATCTTCGAAAGCGTTGAGTAGGTCGCTTAGCAACACGGACGGTCTAGACATGTCTTTGATTCGTTACCAAAAGAAAGAAAATACGATAGAGAAGTATTGCTTACATGGACGAGTCCTCGCATTTTGCGACCACCAAATGCCTGCCATCTCCCTCACCCACAGACTCGTGCGCTAGGCTGCAAAAACGAAGAAGAAAAGCTTTTATACGTGAATTCTTTCAAGTTTTAGAGCAAAGATTCTCACCCATAGACGTCCGCCAAGCGATGAAGAAGCATCCGGTGATAAGAAACCATCGGTGTAAGCTCCAGCAACTCCCTATCACTGGAAAAATCACAGATGAATCCACCAGAAAACACAAAAAACCCTCGCTTGCCTGGATGGATCCAAAAACTCCACAAACGCTTCCTCCGCCGCCAGCAGCAGATGCTTGGTGTGGAGATTGTTCCTGACGAGAGACGCGAGCTCCTCCACCTGCAAATCGCTCGCATTTGGACACGCATTGGCGCTCACCTCCATGGATAAACCCTAACCCTGAGAATAGAATATTCTTCCCGGATCCGCGGCATTTAAATAAAGAGAGGCTTTTGAGGATATTCGTATCCAGTCTTTGAGTGTATTCTTTGGGGCTTTTGTGGATGGCTCTAGCAACGCTACTGCTGATTGTCTTGGTGAGAAATCCATTCATTGTGGCACTGGCAGCTGCTGCTCCAGCATTTTTTGTGTTTGGAGACTCGAGCGTCGACACGGGGAATAACAATTTCATCTCAACTTTGATCAAGGCCAATTCTCTGCCTTATGGTATGAATTTCGATCCACCAGGTGCTACAGGGAGGTTTTCCAATGGCAAACTCGTGAGTGATTACATAGGTGGGACTTGCATAAGTTTTGAGATCATGGATTTTCCCACTTTCTTTCTCTATCAGCCGAGTTTCTTGATCTTCCGTACCCTGTCAACTTCTTAGATCCCGGTGTTTCGCCTTGGAATCTCTTGAAGGGTGTCAACTTTGCAGCAGCAGGGGCTGGACTACTTGACAGCACTGGCTTCTCGCGAGTAACATTGATAATCATTCATTCGTGATCGAAGGTCTTTCTAAGGTTTTTATTTTCTTTCCAAAGGGAGTGAGATCATTCACAAAGCAAATCAAAGAGTTTCAGAAGGTGGTGAAGGTTCTGGAGTCTCTGGCTGGCAAATCCTCTACGCTGGATCTGCTTTCACGGTCGATTTTTCTAATTAGCTTTGCTGGGAATGACTTGGCAGCCAATTATCAGCTGAATCCATTCAGGCAGATGTTTTACAACCTCACACAATTCGAGTCGCTGCTTATAAACCAGATGTCTCGTTCGATCCAGGTGAGAATGATAGCATAAATAGTTTGCTACAAGCAACCTTCTACATAATGTCTAGACTCTTCATGCTTATGGAGCTCAAAAGTTTATCATCGCTGATATTCCACCTCTGGGATGCACTCCTGTGGAGCTCATACTGCACGGAGCATGCAAAGGAAGATGTGTTGCAAGTGTTAACGAGCAAATTCGGAGCTTCAACTCAAAGACAAGTGTTTTCTTTTCCAAGCTCAGAGCAGTGCTCAGGGACTGTGATTTTCTACACCTTAAGAGCTACACTATTGTACAAAGGATCTTGGAGAATCCAAGCACTCATGGTAAGTTCTTTAAGCTTGTGTTGATAATTGTTCTTTGCTTTTCATCGCAGGACTAAGGCATGCCAGTAGAGCTTGTTGTGGAAATGGTGGCCATTACAATGCCCTTGGACCTTGCAACTGGTTCATATCTTCCGTATGTGAAGATCCAGATTTATATGCCTTTTGGGATATGGTTCATCCAACTCAAGCTCTCTATAAGCTTGTGGCCAACGAAGTCATCTTTGGATCCCCAAACTCCATCTATCCTTTCAATCTAGCACACCTTGTATCCAATATGCCACAATAGCAATGTGTATAGTTTTACGTAATATTCACAGGTTTTTCGTATAATTCTCAATCCTTGTTGACATAGACCTCTTTGTTCTTGTCACTATTGTTGTTGTTGTTGAAGTAGATGCTGGCAAGAAGAACATAAGCTGGCGCGTTTCTCGAATCTAACGCGAGAATTCCCCTCGTCGCATTAAAACCGACAGCGGTGTGATCCTCTCGGTGTAGCCTACATGCCCCCAGCAGCGATCTCCAGTCCCAAACGTCAGGAACAAACGGCATGCTTGCAACGAGGTCTTGGGCATCGCCCAAGTATCCTCCCCTCCCAAGAACATCCACCATGCAGCAGAAGTGGAGCTTCTTTGCTCGGATCCCAAAATCGATGCTCATCGACACAAAGCACGACCAGCTCGCGTGAACTTCCCCGAGCCGGCTGCAAGCAACCAAGATGCAAATGAAAGATACTTCGTCCGGTTTGCAAGCCGAGCTGTGCATGTTTTGGAAGAGCTCCAGCGCTTCGGTGGACTGTCCGTTTTGAGCATAAGCCACGAGAATTGCATTCCACGAGACCGAGTCGTGTTCGAGCATCCCATTAAAAATGCGTCTCGCTTCTGCGAGATGGCCGGCATGAGCGTATGCCGAAAGGATCGAAGTCCACACCATTGCGTCTCGTCCTTCCAAGCCATCGAAGATCATCTTTGCTGCCTCCAGATGCCCGTTTAGCGAGTAAGCCGCCACAATCGCGCTGAAAGAGACACTGTTTTTCGTCTCGATGGTGTCGTAGATCACTTTGGCCTCCTCCACATACCCGTTGTATGCATACCCGGCTAGCATCGCATTTGAAAGCACGATATCTCTCTCGTGTACTTTGATGTCGTCAAAGATCCTCCGGGCCTCCTCGAGGTGCCCGTTGTGAGCATAAGATCCGAGCATCACAGTCAAAGACACAAGATTGTGCTCGGGCATCTGATCAAACATCCTCTTGGTTTTGTTCATCAATCCGCTCTGGGCATACGCTGAGAGCATCGACGTCCATGAAACAATGTTGGTCTCTTGCATGCCATCGAAAACTCCCTTTGCATTGTCAACTTCTCCTTGCAAAGCAAAGCCAGCGATCATCGCAGTAGAAGACACGAGATTGTGCTCCGGCATGGATTCAAACATTTGCTTTGCTTGTTCGATATCACCATTCTCTGCAAATGCAGCCAGCATGATCGTAAGCACCACCAGGTTTCTCTCTTTCAGCTTGTCAAAAGCTCCCTTGGCAAGAGCTAGATGCCCGCTTTGAGCATAAACAGAAACCAAACAAGTCCACGAAACTAGATCTCTCTCTTTCATCTCCGAAAATACAAACTCCACCTTCTCCACCTCTCCCAGATCTCTGTACAGGCCTAGCATTGCATTCCACGACACAAGGTTTCTTTCAGGCATGGAGTCGTAAATTTGTTTTGCCTGAGAGCTATGCCCGTTTTGGGTATATGCACATAACATTGCAGTCCAGCACACAATATCCCTCTCGGGCATTTGATCAAATAGATCTTTTGCATCACCAACTTTTCCGCTCTGAGAAAACCCAACAAGCATGCACGTACACGATATAAAATCCCATTCAGGCATTTTCTTAAACACTTGCTCAGCTTCTTCGAAAAGACCAACGGCGGCATTTGCAGTAAGCATCGCCGTCCACGACACAAGATCTTTTTCTTGCATATGAGAAAAAATTGTGTTTGCTGCTTCAATGTTTCTGCTTGATCCATAGGCATTTAACATTGTGTTCCAAGAAACGAGATCTCTTTCCGGCATTCTCTCGAATAAGTCTTTAGCTTGCTCAAGATCCCCTTGATGGGCATAAGCGCTTAACAGCGTTGTCCACGACACCAGGTTGCGGTGCGGGATCTCATCAAACAGCTGCTTGGCATGCTCCATTTTGCTACTTTTGGAGTAAGCAGCGAGCATCAAAGCCCATGAGAATGTGTTTCTAGAAGTGATGGCATTAAAAACTTGCCGAGCTTCATCAGGAGCACCACACTTACCATACATCTGGATTAGCATGTTATGCATAAAAACGTCATCGGGAGCAACGAGTGGAATAATTTGGAAGTGAATCTCTCTCGCCCTAGACAGAGTCTTGCATGACTTAACCATCTCCAGGCAAGCGTTTCGATCCATCCTGGTTGCCTGACCATATCAAGCTCCTTGTTCTTGACTAATTTTTGAGGTTTAGAGGAAAATCATAATAGAAAATAGGATTAAAAGATGAATGAAACAAAATATAAATGGTTTCAATGCTAACATGTTAACAGTAAAAGCAATTATTTAGACTCTATAATATTTCTTTAAAATTAGGGCATTGCAGTGAAAGCCCTAGCTATGGCGGGAGCGAGCGTGGGCGCGGGCAATGGCGTGGTTCTTGGCAAGCGCGCACGAGGAAATCCAAACTACTCGGAGCTGGGCACAGGCAATGCGGCTGCTGCCTCTGCTGGATCTGGCGGAGCTGCCGCTAGCGGAGCTTCTACCGCCGCTGGAAGCGGTGCCATTGGAACCCCAGTCTTGACGGGCCCGACCGTCCAAGTGCAGCTCACATTCGCCGGTAAGGATAGAGTTCTAGCAGCAAGAGGTGCTGATCGTTTTTTTGCTTCACAGAGAAGAACAGTAAGAGGATTGTCATGGCTCTCCAGAGTGGCCTCAAGAGCGAGCTCTCGTGGGCACTGACCTCGCTCAATGTTTTATCTTTCAAGGAGAAGGACGATGGAAGGAAGGACGCTCTGGTGAAAATTCCTGGCCTACTCGATGCTCTCCTTCATGTGGTATTTGATTTAGTTTGCGCTTTCGTGATTTTGTGGCTCTGCTAAGGAACTGGACTGCGCAGATAGATGAGTGGAGGGATATATCTTACTCCAGTGACTCGAAAAAATCAGCGAGAAAACGCACGCTTGGACTTCATCGTCCGACCACTGGATTTGGCCTCGAGTATGAGATTAACACGCATCACGATCCGCTCTATAGAATGCGGTATGTAAGGCTCTCTCTTTCTTATGCGCGCTCACTTTCTTTTCTTTTCTTGTTTAAATTTCCTAGCACCATGCCGGAGAGAAATCCAGAGAGCGTCACAGATGAGAAGAAGAATGTAGATTGGTGGTGGGACGAAGAGGGGCTGTTCAACCTGGATGAAATCGGACGAGCTGAGCGGCAGCAGTGCGCTGTCGCAGCCTCAAATGTTCTACGGAATTTCTCATTCATTCCCGAGAATGAAATCCACATGGCTCAACACCGGCACTGTCTGGAAACTCTTGTTTGCTGCATGCAAGATCACAATACTGGTACAATGTCCAAGTTCTTGCTTTCTTTGACGGGAGAAAGTACTAACTACATACAGAGGACGAGGAGTTGGTCACTAACGCAGTGGAAACGATTCTTAACTTGGCAACGTTTGTGGTGCTGAGAATATTTACTGACCCGTCCAAAGGCCGGATCACGTAGGTAAACTGTTTTATGTCTAGAGTTAGAGAAGCTAACTTCCCATCGTCTTGCTTGGAGCAGGGAACAAGCTGCTGTACAAGCGATTGTGACAATGCTGGAATCACCGATCAAGCCCTGGCATTGCTCGGCTGCAGAGCTACTGGGAAGGCTCGTAGTAAACCCCGAGAACGAGCCATATCTTCTTCCATTTGCAACTCAGGTAGAGACTTTCGTGATAAACTCTGCCTGAGCGTTATGTGCACGGACAGATCTACAAGCGCTTGGTGGACATACTCAACTTTCCAGCGAGCGATTCTCAGGCAGCAGCCATAGCAGCATTGTATAACTTCGCGGAGGTGAATATGGACTGCCGTCTTCGGCTGGCAAACGAGCGATGGTGAGTAGCTTTTCTTCGTTCACACGAAAGCTTTTCAAGCTTGGCTCTTTTGTTTACCTTCGCAGGGCCGTCGGGAGGCTCTTAAGGATCGTCCAGACGCCTCATCCCCTGCAAGAAGTGGTGAGAAAAGCAGCCCTGACGCTTGAGAGCCTTGCGTCAGAACCAGAGAACAGGTCTATACTTCTAGCTTACGAGCACACTTTTGCGGAGCTTGCTCTGACGGATGCCCGTACTTCGGACATGTTTGCGAGGATACTGTGGGAGCTGAGCTCCAGGACAGGATCCAAGAGCTCTGCTCGTGGAGTGTGGGGATCATAGCGAAAACGTAAGTCTAAGAAGAACCAACCGATACAAAACTTATTGGTCCACCATCCCAAGTAGCCATTCGATTCTGAATCATCAGAATTGTCACAATCATTCTGATTAAATGGAGTAGCTGACTTTTTGGATTGCAGACATTCCTTCAGACAATTGCACAAAGAGAAAAGAGAATAGATTAAGGAATATTCTAAAATATGTTTGAATATTTCAGTGTGACGTCTAACAGTACAGTTACAATTTAGTGGGATATATTAATTTTCTAGTAGGGTTTTAATTAGATATGCATATTTTTGTATTTCATGCACCATGCACAGGTGATTGGTAGTTTTGATTGTTTAAATATAACTTTTGCAACATCTAAAACTCTTTTGTTCCTATAGGTTTTTTATTTCTTTTCTTTTCTTTTTCCTCTTCTTTTCATTCATTTTTATGGTAGAGTAACATATTCCTATTTTGCAATAGCTTCCTCCTCCTCCTCACTCAAGTAATAATTGGTGTAATTATATGATATTATGTAGTCACAATTGAATAATCAAACTTAATTCATAACAGCATTTATGGTGTGTGGTGAAACCATTCCTCTTGCTACAAATCTTTATATCTAGGGATGATATTTACAATTAGTTTAATCATAATTACCACCTATCATTCTTGGGATGATACTTAACATCTATGTAAATTTCCCACACATCTTCAAGGGATACAATGGTATAATTGTTTGAATATGCTATTTATGCGAATTCTTAGATGAATTCAAGTGTATATTTAGACATATTAACGACTCTGATGATATTTACATTAAAACTACTTGAGTTAGTTATGCAATCTGGTGTTTGCTTCTAAAGCCTCTTA